CCCCAAAACCCCAAAACCCCAAAACCCCAAAACCCCAAAACCCCAAAACCCCAAAACCCCAATCCTTATAATAAATTGCCCTCAGCTCCTAAAAAGTATGGTTCCTCCAATCCCCTTCTTCCCCATTTCCCAACCCCCTTCTTCTCCACCCTAAATTCCTCCCTCCTTAACTCCCTTAACCTTCCTTCATCCAACTAAATTTGTTCGGAGCACTATACTTAGTTAGGCTGGGCCTAGCTGCTTTAAGAGTGAAGTCACGGCCAAGGAATATAAGAAGAGGTCAGGGTCAAAGGCTGAATGGGACTGGGCAGAGAGAGGAGTGAGGGGGTAGTGATTTTATGTCGTTCAAGAGGAGGATTGATATGGTGGGCTTAGACAAAGGCCTAGGAGGTTTATTATGACTAAAGGATGATCTATAGCTCTGAAGAAGAGTATTATGGATATCTAGTTCTTAAATAACATATCTATCATACACACTTAATACAAAAATGGTTAATAGTAAATAATCCATTATATAGAATGCTAAGAAAAATAGCAAGACTCCTCCAAGCTGTTGATGGATTTGGGAAAACAGTGACTATGAGCCATCAGGACAAACTCAAGTTCAAAACTGTCTGTGGTGGATTGATGACAATTTTAGCCACAGTCTTTGTTTCTGCATTTGCTTATTTTATGTCAATGGAGCCATCAGAGATGAAGAACATAATTAGTACAAATGGTAATTATTATTTATAACCTCTAGCATATAAGAACTCCACCATTGATGCAGGTATGGAATATTACCTTAAATTGAATAATATGATAATTTGGAAATTTAGATCAACCTGAGAACGATAGTAAAGACAGTTGAGTAGTTTCTTCTCAAGTTATATGAAAGATAATATAGTTTCCTAGTGTTTGGCTTATAGTGTGCCTTGTGTCGACACAATTTTTACTTAAATTTCTATCATTTACTCTGCAGTTTTTATTAAGTTTAAAAAATACTAATCCACATAGATTGGATAACATCAATAGAAACAGTTGTTACTTCAGAATTTACAGATTATTCAGACAGCGAAGATGCTAAAATCCATAATCTGACCTCTAATGGATTTGGGATATCACTAGACCCAAACTTAATCCCAAACAGTGAATATGGAAAATTCACTGCAAACACGAGAGTTCGCAAAAATGGCGGTAGTGGTATGGCATCTTTCAATTTTATTATCTCTAAATCATCATAAATATTACTTCTCAAATGTTTTATTGCTCTTCTATTTTCTATTACTTAAACTTTTCTTCATCTAATCCTTGCACAAAATAAAACATTCCCTAAAAGTATTGGGAAGTTAAAAAATCAATTTACAGATTCAGGTTTTGTATTAACTGGCTTCATAGCTGTAACATCGTCAGTCACTCTTAAAAACTGTACGCAAGCTCTCTTCCCTGACAAGGACTGGGATAGTGCTCTTCACTATGGGTTGAAATATGATCTATGACTAAACACTGATGAATTAAATCTTCAAGCTAATCTAGAAGCAGATAATTATGAAGCAATACAATTGTATTACTACAAGTGTCTCTCCTCTGAGTAAGAATTCAAACTTCACTGAGAAGCTAAGCCAATGGCATAGCGATCTGATTGTCAAATTCTTTAGTAGTGCAATACATTCTCCTTACTCAGGAGAAACATCCACTGGAAGGTTTGACTCTCAATAGAATTAAGATTAGAGCTTTTTAAAGCTAACCCATTTATATAGTACATGAGTAAGCTCCAGTGATTCAAGTACGTATCACAGATACAAAGATATGACGCCATATGCTCTGAACTCTTTCTATAACAGCTCTGATCTTTCAGATCCTATCAAGCAGTACATCAAACAGCTAGACCCAGTGGAATTAGGGTACATGTCTTATGTTAGCTATTATATTGAAGTAAGAGAGAATGAAGTGATATTTCTGAACGGCACAACTCAGACTTTCTATGATGCATATTCTGCCTATGATTACAAATTGTAGCCTTTTGTATAATATTTAGCCCATTCCATAACTTCGCTCCATCAACTACAGCCAAAATCACAGTAATGCAGATATAATCTTTAGGTGATGATGAGTAATGAAAAGAGAACTTACAAACAAGTTGAAAGAATTGTGCCAAATTTATCAAATTTCAGAAATCTTGACTCTTCTGAAGTATCTCTTAGTACTGCAGGACAGACTATAGAGAGCAATTCTACTACTAAGACTGAAGAGAAAATAAACAAAGACCTCCCTTATAAGATTATGACTATTCTTTCTCAGACTGGTGGTTTCTGTTACCTGGTTAATTTAATATTTGGTACTTTAATATCTCCATTTGTGAACAACATGAAGCTTGCATCTATGATAAATTCTATCAAATCTCGAAGACAAAGAACAAAAGAGAAATCATACCAAAACCCTCTCCAAAAGAACTCCCCTCATGAAGAAAACAAGCAAAGTACCTCATTCCCCTAAAATCTAGACAACACCAGCCCCTTTAAAAGAATCCATCAACAAATAGACCCCACCATCAGTATCCTTCCCTCTAACTTCCAGACGACTCTTCCGCCAACCTCAACCTCCACGACCCCAATGACCTAAACCTCCAGTACTCTACACCCAAAAATCCCAGTACAAATTTCCCGAAGAAAGTCTCCTCCAAAAAGAGATTTCGAACTTATGGCCTCTGAGATGTCCTCGTGAGTACAGTAAATCCACTAAAATGTGTGAAGAAGTTGAGGATCTGTAAGAACTTTGAACATGACAAGCAAGTGTTGATGGAAGAGATTTGTGTAGCAAGGATTTGTGAGGATTTGAAGAATTTGAGTAGGGTGAAGGGAAGGATTTTGGTAAGAGAGGAGATTATGGGTGTAGAAGGATATACAGGGGCTGAAGGAAGCGGTGCAGGAGATTTCGAGGAGGGTAGAAGGGGATGATAGGAGTGGAAGGTAGGGGAGTTGGGTGAATGAGGTTTATAGGCAAGAGAATGATGGTTCTCAGGTGGATGAGAGCCCAGAGAACAGTGTTTTTAAAAGTAATATTGGAGTAATTGTTAGATTTGAATGAAGATCAGGTTTCTGCATTTACGCGCCCAATCTCATCTCATAAGCACCAGTCACCCTCAGTTCACCAAGAGTACCTCCTCTCTAACCCATAGAGCGATAACCTCCATCCACAAAATAGTCAACCATGAACTCTCTGCATCCCAGCCCCACTTAGTGCATGGCCAAGTACGAAATCTTAACAGTTCAAAACCTCAGGTTTTAGCCGCCTGCAGCTAGATTTTAGAATTCGTGTTTGGACATTTTTAAGGAAGAAAAGAAATTAAAGTTACTGTAGACTTCTAAGAGCATGAAAGGGAAGAATAAGCAACCAAGTACTCAGTGGTAGGTGATAAGGGGGTAATGTGTAGGGAGAGTTTGAAGGAAGAGATCAAAGAGGCAGTAAAGAAATTGTAATGGTGGTATTAATAGTACTCATAAAACGTTTTTCAACCACTTCACCTTCTTCTGGGGTTTTGGGGTTTTGGGGTTTTGGGGTTTTGGGG